CAGGAGAACTCCTTCCTTGTTAGCATGGTGAGCTCCCTTCCAGGAGAGCTCCATACTCCGATACTTGTCCTTCAAGTGACCACTTAGTGGCACATGAAACAAGATCATCAACACGTAAGGTAAACCTGCCAAGTAACTCATCTTGGGCCTTCTTTATACATTAGAGACATAGAGGATAGATTACCACAGCATGTCACAACTAAGCACTAGGTGGCTAATGCATGCTATAGGTGGCTTAATGGATAACCCTGATTAGGTTCCAGGTTCCTAGGCCGGATTCCAAGTGTCTCAACTAGATACCAGCTAGCTTGAATCGGGCCATAGATGTCCGAGTCGAGCACTATGTGGTCGAGCTCGAGTAACAAGTGTCTTGATAGAGTCCCAGGTATCGTACCTGAGCTCCACCAAGAAAAAGCAAGCTCCAGGTGTCTTAAGCTACGACATGTGTCCTACGCCTGTCCGATACATACACACTCTCACAAGTATCCCAAATAATATATAAAGGACAGGTTAGCATTCAATTCATACTTTATAACTCGCTAAATTCTTAACCACCCTCTGGACAGGTTAGCATTCAATAATATATAAAGGACTGGGCTACCCCCAGTGGTGTAGCGCTATAAAGTAAAAAAAATGTGCTTAATATAAGATGAATAACCAAGTTAAAAACAATTTTAAAATTAAATTGACGAAGATAACCAAAGGTTCATGTTAAGTGCTTTCTTATTGCAATTGTTGAACCAAGAGAATCCATGAAAAAATCTACATTAAAATAATGAAAAGTAAATAAAAACCTAATAACCCATGGAAAAGGAGAATTGGTTTCTTTAGACTTTATATAAGAAAATTGTGAAAGAATGGTAGGATCCATCTTATGGACGCCAAAAAGATTACGGAATGGGTGGGCGAATTTCAAAAATTTCCTACCTTCTCCCAACTGGGAATCGTATTCCCTAAATTTAGAATACAATATTCAAGGATCCTACTTGAACCATAATCGAACCAGATCTGAACCAAAAGGAAAATGGAGGATTATACCTGATCTGGAGAAGCAATATCTCCCAAAGTTGGTGTTCACGCCCAAATAGGACACCAAGATCCGCTCCTGTTGAAGATGACACAGCTGTAGGTGGAACGGAACCAGTAGAGTGCGTCCTACACATTGGATCCTTCTCAAGAACCCTCTGGAAACTCTAAGCACCAAATCTTTTACAGTCTTTTCTACAAGACTGATGTCAAGAATTGATTTCTTGATTTCTTTCTTCTGTAAAGATCAAATCTTGCAAGAAGGAATGGCGGCGGCTGGAGAAGAACTCTTGGGACAGAGATGGCTGAATTGCTTCTCTTCTCTCTGGAGTGTGAATGAGATCTAATCTCAATTCGCAGGATGCCTTTTTGCTTACAACCCCTAGTTCGAAATCTGATATGTTTCTCTTTTTGGGTTTCTCCTCTTTTCTTCTTGATTAAGAAACCTCCTAATTAGGAGT